GGACCTGTAGCTCCAGCCCCCCCCCCCTCTACTGGCAGGGCGTTGGTGCTGGACCTGTAGCTCCAGCCCCCCTCTACTGGCATGGGTAGGTGCTGGACCTGTAGCTCCAGCCCCCATTTACTGGCAGAGGGGTTGATGCTGGACTTGTAGCTCCAGCCCCACTCTACTGGCAGGGTGTTGGTGCTGGACCTGTAGCTCCAGCCCCCCTCTATTGACATGGGGTTGGTGTTGAACTTGGTGTTAACAGTCTCCGTGGTGTAGTGGTAAGACACTCGCCTGGCGTTCCGCGAGCGCTATGTCATGGGTTCGTATCCTGGCCGGGGAGGATTTACTGGGCGCAATTCCTTAACTGTAGCCTCTGTTTAACGCATCAGTAAAATGTGTACTTGGATGAAAAAACGATTCTTCTCGGCAGTGGATCGTATTCCAGGGACCTGCTTGAAACGCTACCCGTACTAGTGGCTGTACAAGAATGTAACAACTCTTGTATATATCTCAAAAAAAAACAAAAAAAAACCTTGTAGTTCCAGCCCCCATTTACTGGCAGGGGGGTTGATGCTGGACTTGTAGCTCCAGCCCCACTCTACTGGCAAGGGGTTGGTGCTGGACCTGTAGCTCCAGCCCCACTCTACTGGCAGGGGGTTGGTGCTGGACTTGTAGCTCCAGCCCCTCTACTGGCAGGGGATTGGCGCTGGACTTGTAGCTCCAGCCCCTCTACTGGCAGGGGGTTGGTGCTGGACTTGTAGCTCCAGCCCCCCTCTACTGGCAGGGGGGTTGGTGTTGGACTTGTAGCTCCAGCCCCACTCTACTGGCGGGGGGGGGGGGGGGGTTGGTGCTAGACCTCTAGCTCCAGCCCCCCCCCCCCTCTTCTGCCAGGGAGGTTAGTGCTGGACCTGTAGCTCCAGCCTTTCTCTACTGGCAGGGGTTTGGAGTTGGATCTGTAGGCCAATCCCCCTTCTATTTGCAAGGGGGTTGGTGCTGGACCTGCTGCACCAGCCCCCATTTACTGGCAGGGGGGTTGATGCTGGACTTGTAGCTCCAGTCCCACTCTACTGGCAGGGGGTTGGTGCTGGACCTGTAGCTTCAGCATTCCTCTACTGGCCAGGGGTTGGTGCTGGACCTGTAGGTCCAACCGCCTTCTACTGGACGGGGGTTGGTGCTGGACCTGTAGCTCCAGCCCCCTCTCTACTGGCAGGGGATTGGTGCTGGACCTGTAGGTCCAACCGCCTTCTACTGGACGGGGGTTGGTGCTGGACCTGTAGCTCCAGCCCCCCGCTCTACTGGCAGGGGATTGGTGCTGGACCAGTAGCTCCAGCCCCCTCTACTGGCAGGGGGATGGTGCTGGACCTGTAGCTCCAGCCCCCCTCTACTGGCAGGGAGAGGGGGCTGGACCTGAAGCTCCAACCCTCCTTTTCTGGCAGGGGGGGGGGGGTTGGTGCTGACCCTGTCTCTCCAACCTCCTCTACTGGCAGGGGGTTGGTGCTGGACCTGTATCTCCAGCCTCCCCCTCCCCCTCTACTGGCAAGGGGTTGGTGCTGGACCTGTAGCTCAAGCTTCTCTCCACTGGCAAGGGGGTTGGTGCTGGACTTGTAGCTCCAACCCCCCCCTTCCCCCCTCTACTGCCAGGGAGGTTAGTGCTGGACCTGTAGCTCCAGCCTTTCTCTACTGGCAGGGGTTTGGAGTTGGATCTGTAGGTCAAGCCCCCTTCTATTTTCAGGGGGGTTGGTGCTGGACATGTAGCACCAGCCCCAATTTACTGGCAGGGGGGGTTGATGCTGGACTTGTAGCTCCAGCCCCACTCTACTGGCAGGGGGTTGGTGCTGGACTTGTAGCTCCAGCCCCTGTACTGACAGGGGGTTGGCGCTCGACTTGTAGCTCCCGCCCCTATACTGGCAGGGGCTTAGTGCTGGACCTGTCGCTCCAGCCCCCTGGTCTGGATACTAGCAGGGAGGTTTGGTGCTGGACCTGAAGATCCAGCCCCCCTCTACTGGCAGGGGGTTGGTGCTGGACCTGTAGCTCCAGCCCCCCTCTACTGGCAGGGGGTTGGTGCTGGACCTGAAGCTCCAGCCCACCTCTACTGGCAGGGGTTTGGTGCTGGACCTGTAGCTCCAGCCCCCCTCTACTGGCAGGGGCTAGGTGCGGGACATGTTCAATCCAGCCCCCTGTCTACTGGCAGGGGGTTGGTGCTGGACCTGTAGCTCCAGCCCCTCCCCCCTTTACTGGCAGGGGGTTGGTGCTGGACTTGTAGCTCCAGCCCCCCTTTACTGGCAGGGGGTTGGTGCTGGACCTGTAGCTTCAGCCCCCCACTACTGGCAGGGGGTTGGTGCTGGACCTGTAGCTTCAGCCCCCCACTACTGGCAGGGGGTTGGTGCTGGACCTGTAGCTCCAGCCCCCTTTACTGGCAGGGGGTTGGTTCTGGACCTGTAGCTCCAGCCCCCTTCTACTGGTAAGGGTTTGGTGCTGGACTTGTGTCTCAAGCCCCCCTCTACTGGCAGGGGGTTGGTGCTGGACCTGTAGCTCCAGCCCCCCTCTACTGGCAGGGGTTTGGTGCTGGACCTGTAGCTCCAGCCCCCTCTACTGGCAGGGGTTTGGTTCTTGACCTGTAGCTCCAATCCACCTCTACTGGCAGGGGTTTGGTTCTTGACCTGTAGCTCCAGCCCCCCTCTACTTGCAGGGGTTTGGTGCTGGACCTGTAGCTCCAATCCACCTCTACTGGCAGGAGTTGGTGCTGGACCTGTAGTTCCAGCCCCCCTCTACTGGCAGGGGTTGTGGGGGCTGGACGTGTTTAATCCAGCCCCCTCTCTACTGGCAGGGGGTTGGTCCTGGACTTGTAGCTCCAGCCCCCCTCTACTGGCAGGGGGTTGGTGCTGAACTTGTAGCTCCAGCCCCCCTCTACTGGCAGGGGGTTGGTGCTGAACTTGTAGCTCCAGCCTTCCTCTACTGGCTAGGGGGTTGGTCCTGGACCTGTAGCTCCAGCTCCCCTCTAATGGCATTGGATAGGTCCTGGACTTGTAGCTCCAGCTATCCTCTACTGGCAGGGGGTTGGTGCTGGATATGTAAATCCAACCCCCCTCTACTGGCAAGGAGGTTGGTGCTGGCATTGTTTAGAAGTTTGTTGGCAGTTTGAAGGCATCAGTCTCTTCGAAGCCAGCAGTGGTCTGTTTATTTTCAATGTCCTCCTGGATGCTTCCCTGGTAGGTTGGTGTAGTGTCACCCACTCTCTGTGCCTCTGTGAGAGGGGGGGGGGGCAGGATCCCGGGTTCAATAGAGGATCACAGGCTTAATCATCACGCAGGACAGAAATGGTTCCCATGTTTCCTTTCACCTGATGTCTGTTCACTTACCAGAAAATATATATCCAGGAGTTAGACAACTATTTTAGATTGTATGTTAAGGAAAGTCAGAAGTAGAACTTGGGGAACCTCGATAAACCTAGGAACAAACTTCCTCTCCTCAAAACGCAACTCAATATCTTGTGATATGACCTATGAGAGAAAATAAAAAACTTACTGTTAATTGCTTCTGGGGGATCTCTCCAGTGATTTCCTGAACTTTATTCATGATGCTGGAGGCTGAGTCTCTCAGGTGTACGGGATCAGCTGTGGCACCTGTCTCTGTGGTCATCATCTCCAGGGCCTCCCTGATGGTCTCCTGCACCGGTCATTACCAACACAAACATTAATGGTGGAGGCTGAGTCTCTCAGGTGTACGGGGTCAGCTGTGGCACCTGTCTCTGTGGTCATCATCTCCAGGGCCTCCCTGATGGTCTCCTGCACCTGTCATTACCAACACAAACATTAATGGTGGAGGCTGAGTCTACCAGGTGTACGGGGTCAGCTGTGGCACCTGTCTCTGTGGTCATCATCTCCAGGGCCTCCCTGATGGTGTCCTGCACCTGTCATTACCAACACAAACATTAATGTGGAACCTGGACCAAAATGAAGCATCAGGCTCTGAGTAAAGTAACTGGACTATAATGAAGCATCAGGCTCTGAGTAAAGTAACTGGACCAAAATGAAGCATCAGGCTCTGAGTAAAGTAACTGGACTATAATGAAGCATCAGGCTCTGAGTAAAGTAACTGGACTATAATGAAGCATCAGGCTCTGAGTAAAGTAACTGGACTATAATGAAGCATCAGGCTCTGAGTAAAGTAACTGGACTATAATGAAGCATCAGGCTCTGAGTAAAGTAACTGGACTATAATGAAGCATCAGGCTCTGAGTAAAGTAACTGGACTATAATGAAGCATCAGGCTCTGAGTAAAGTAACTGGACTGTAATGAAGCATCAGGCTCTGAGTAAAGTAACTGGACTATAATGAAGCATCAGGCTCTGAGTAAAGTAACTGGACTATAATGAAGCATCAAGCTCTGAGTAAAGTAACAGGACTATAATGAAGCATCAGGCTCTGAGTAAAGTAACTGGACTATAATGAAGCATCAGGCTCTTAATAAAATAATTTCACAATATAAGTAATGGTGTTTCTCTACACTGACCACAGTGTAGAGAAACACCAAGATGACAGTTGACTTTATTAATAAAAATGTTTCCTATCTATAAAGTCAACTCTCATCTTGATGTGTTTCCATGTCAAAAGTGTTTATATAGAGGCAATACTACACTCAGTTGGGTGAGAACAATGTGACCTTCGGTAGTGTACCTTCACTGAGGTGTGGACAGTGTTGACATCTGGGAAGAGTTCCTGGCACTTCCGGAGCCAATCTTCTACCTTCATCTTGCACCCATCAGCTGTGTCTATGGTTGTGCCAACCTCCTGTGGGGTGTTGACTGTGTCGAGGCTCCCCAACATGGCCTGCAGCTGAGTCTTCCCTTCCTCTCCTTGTGTTGTCATATCTACCACACTGGTATCCTCCAGTTCCAAGAGTTTCATTGCTGACGTGTTCTGCTCTACCAGAGCATAGAGTCTGTCCTGGAGCTGGAGGTGGTGAGTCTTCCAGTCCCCCAGCTGCCCCCGGTACTCCCCCAGCTGGGACAGTACCTCTTCACAGCTAGTAATGAGGCTGCTGATGATGCTCTTCTGCTCCTGCACCAGGGAACGTAATGTCTTACTGATGCCTCTGGCGGGACCTTCATAATGTTTTGCTGGCACTACTTCCTCAGTTGTTAGCTGGGTATTTTTGAGTTTCCTAACAAAAGCCTCCACAGCATAGCTAATTGGGAACTGAGTAGAGGCTGTGGCAGCGTGCTGGCCACGGCAGCTGGGGCAGGACAGCTGACCATTCTTGATAGCATTGTTAATACACTGGGAGCAGAATGTGTGGCCACACGGCAGATTGCGAGGCCGTAGCTGATTGTCATCATAATCGTTAAAACACACTGAACATTCCTCTGGCTTGTTATCCTGTGGAAAAGAATATTTGGTTAAACTAGATGTATTTACAACAAAAAAGTAATATTACAGTACTTTATTTACTAATACAAATTGCATAATATTTATATACATTCTTTGCATTAGCTATTCTAGAGCAGAGTTAATATTACTTACAGATTAACATATTCACACAAGGGCCAATATTTTTTATAAATATATCCCGGAGTATGGGATAATATTTTTTGTTAACATATTGCAGCAGCAGGGCTGCCTGTAAGCCGTACCCGAGAGTACAGACTAACACTACCTGTCCTTACTTTCTTATGAATAATGGAAGGAAATGTATGTATCATATATGATAATTGGGGAAGGGTCAAGTATTCTTAGTCTAAATTGGACAATAAGTGCACTGGGGTTAAATCTTCACACATGGGCTTTATTGAACTCCGGATTATTCTACACTTATTAACTATGGGAACACACGATTACGTTTCTGGATTGTTGAAATTGAGTGATACTCTTCACCAAACATGATGGATGAATTGATTATTGGTCCAGCATGGACCAATAGTAGCATGGATTTTTACAATATAAGGTCTCTACACTTAATCACTTTACTAACGGGGATCAAGGTTGATGGAGTTTAAACCACGTGTTACAGTACTCCTTAAGCTCTGCACGCCTGGTTTCGACAAAAACTTTTTAGTGCAATTTTCAAGGACATATTTTTGTTGTTTTTATAAATGTCCAGGTAAAGTGCCAGGTAAAGTTAATGTCAAAAAGTTTCCAAACTCAACTATTTCCATTTCAAAACGCAAAGTAATGAAAACATTAAAAAACATTAAAATATAGCCTAATTAGAAAAAATAACACAATTCTCAGAGTGCCTAAAGGCACTTTGCGCAGTGCAGTGGTTAAAGTGGGTGAATGAGCCTAAAATAACACAAGACACACAGGGTTCTACAAACACACATTCCTAAAATTCCTATCCCTAAACTAACAAAGAAAAAAATCACTAGTACAGTTAATGCACTTATCATTACTGTAGAAGACCACCCCAAGCATTGCACTGACGTCTACTGGACACTGGAGTAGTCGCTGCCTGAGTGGACAACTTGCTGCCGCGCTCCACTCTGTGTGCACTCGCTTGGTTCCAATAATGTTTCACACAAAACTCATATCCCAAAATTGGTCATTTGTATGTCTTATAGAGTTCCAGACTGTTTTCATTATTTAACGCTGCTGTTTCTATATATATATTTTCAACCAGTGAATGTCTTAAATAAGTGTTTCCTATACAATTCCATTGCTTTGGGGAGGATATATAATTAATAATAATAATAATTTTCCTTTGTAAGTCACTGTGCTCCACATGTGCAGAACTGACTATTGTACTGGCAGAAATCATAAATTCATGATTGTCCTACCCTTCAAGAAGACCTGGACAAAATAAGTGTATGAGCACCACTTGGCAAATGGAATTTAATGTGAACAAATGCCATGTTATGGAATGTGGAATAGGAGAACATAGACCCCACACAACCTATAAACTATATAATTACCTAAGTGTAGTTACAGGATGAGAGCTATGCTCATGATGTCCCATCTTCCCGGCACTGTCATATAACGCTTTGAAATTACTGACGCTTTTGGCTTCCACCACCTTCTCACCTAACTTGTTCCAACCATCTACCCCACTTGTTTGTGAAAGTGAATTTTCTTATTCACTTCTAAAAAAATTAATTTTCTTCGGCTCCTTTGTTTAGTTTAAATCTATGACCTCTTGATCTTGAAGTTTCAGGTCTCGGGAATTTTTGCCTATCAATTTTATCAATTCCCGTTACTATTTTGTACGTAGTGATCATATCTCCTCTTTTTCTTCTATCTTTTAGTTTTGGAATATTTAACCGCATGGCTATATACCATTTGACACCCACAGGCGCATACAAAAAAAAAAATCTTTTTTCTTCCTAACCTGTTAATTTGTGTTCACTGATCACGGGAAAAATAATAAAACAATCGTAAGTGGCATATATTGCCCGCTCAACCCGTTCTCGCAAATTCGTAAAGTCAATATTGACTTATTAACTACGTGCATAGGTGATATACTAAACATAATAGATACCCTTAAAAAGATTCATAGAAAACACCGACCTTACCTAACCTTGTTAGTATCTTAAGATAAGCATCTTATTGCTTCGTAATTACAATTATTACTTAACCTATACCTATTATAGGTTAGGTAATAATTGTAATTACGAAGCAATAAGATGCTTATCTTAACATACTAAGTAGGTTAGGTAAGGTCGGTGTTTTCTATGAATCTTTTTAAGGGTATCTATTATGTTAAGTATGTCACCTATGCACATATTTAATAAGTCAATATTGACTTATTAAATTTGCAAGAACGGGTTGTGCCCGCTATATGGCGGAGAAGTCTGGCAAAAAAACAGCCGCTGACTCAGCGTGCGTCCCAGACGGTCTGTTGCTTGCCAGCTGTCAGGCCGGAGTTGCCACAAAGAGATAATTACCTAATTACTTCAATGTCTCTGATTGATTTCTCGTAGTTTTTTTGCTGTAATATTATTCAATAGTGTGTAGTGTGATATATTTATATAATAAAATGAGTGAATCATCGCTGTACTCAAAAATATGGTGTGCATATTGTTGATTTAATTATATTCATCAAACAGTGAACAAATACTTTGTCGGTTATTACACTATATACACAGTTTATATATAAGTATCTGCATGTTTTGTTCACCATAACGAACCACTAAGTTGCTATTATGAGTCAAAAAGTAACGAGGAGTGACCGCCGTGTACCAGCCAGCCACTCACGCCCTCCCTCAACACCTCACTCACCCACATTCTCCTCCCACCATACTGTTTTTGCTTTTATTCACTATATACAGACGTTATAAATAAGTATCTACATTCGTGTTCACCATAACGAACCACTAAGTTGGTACGCTGAGTGGCAGTGGCAGCCCGCCACTGGCTGCTACTTGCTCCCTCCCTCAAGTCACCTGACTCCCCCACATTCTCCTCCCACAATACTATTTTTGCTTTTATTCACTATATACAGACGCTATATATAAGTATCTACATTCGTGTTCACCATAACGAACCACTAAGTTGGTACGCTGAGTGGCAGTGGCAGTGGCAGCAGCAGCCAGAGGCAGCCCGCCTCTGGCTGCCACTCCCTCCCTCCCTCCCTCCCTCACCTCACCTGACTTGCCACAATTCTCCACCCACCATACTGTTTTTGCTTTTATATACAGACATTATATATAAGTATTTACATGTTTTGTTCACCATAACTGTACATCAAAGCTTGTATGGTAATTAAAGGCACAAAGACGTAGGACCTCACACAGTCAGCTGGCTGCCGCCCTCAAGGCCAGACGCACTAATATTTCTCCACCAACAATACTGTTTGTGGTGTTATTACACTATATACACACATTATATATAAATATCTACCTGTTTTATTCACCATACTTGTACAAGTAAACTGGTATGGTGCCCAAAGACCATCGTGGTCACCAGTAAACAACGTGATATATCGTGCAGACGATGCCACCGCCCTCACCAAAATCCCAGCAAACAATTTTAGGTTGCCACAACATATCTGGAAAGTATTTGAAAGTATTGGAAACGTTTGTTTTATCGTATCAGATACGATATTGTGTGTGGACTTAAATAGGTTTCCAAAACTTATAACCAAGACATATGTATCTAACACTAATTTGAGATGTTGTGGCAACTTTACACTCCTAACATGAGTCATTCATAATCCATTCATATACCAATATGAATCTCTTATGAAAGGTTTGAGCCAATAATCTGAACCCTTTTCACATCTTTGTGTTTAAAGTAAAATTTCTTGAAATTAAATTATATTTTATATTATATTATTTTTATTATATTTTATATTATATTATTATTTTCAATTTAAATATTAAAACCAATTTAAGGGTAAAAAAAATCTAATAATTTATATTTCTTTTATTATTTACTAACAATTATAATTATTTACTAACGGAGAGAGGGGAGGCTGTACGGCGGAGAGTGGCAACTGTGGCGGACAGTGGCGGCGGCGGGCGGACAGTGGCGGCGGGCGGACAGTGGCGGCGGCGGGCGGACAGTGGCGGCGGGCGGACAGTGGCGGCGGTGGCGGATAGTGGCGGCGGGCGGACAGTGGCGGCGGTGGCGGATAGTGGCGGCGGGCGGACAGTGGCGGCGGGCGGATAGTGGCGGCGGGCGGACCGTGGCGGCTTTGGCGGCGGTGGTGGACAGTGGCGGCGGGCGGACAGTGGAGGCGGGCGGGCGCCGACAGTGGCGGCGGCGGGCGGACAGTGGCGGCGGCGGGCGGACAGTGGCGGCGGCGGGCGGACAGTGGTGGCGGCGGGCGGACAGTGGTGGCGGCGGGCGGACAGTGGCGGCGGCGGGCGGACAGTGGTGGCGGCGGGCGGACAGTGGTGGCGGCGGGCGGACAGTGGTGGCGGCGGGCGGACAGTGGTGGCGGCGGGCGGACAGTGGTGGCGGTGGGCGGACAGTGGTGGCGGTGGGCGGACAGTGGTGGCGGTGGCAGACAGTGGTGGCGGGCACAGTGGTGGCGGCGGCGGACAGTGGTGGCGGCGGGCGGACAGTGGCAGCGGGCGGACAGTGGCGGCGGTGGCGGATAGTGGCGGCGGGCGGACAGTGGCGTGGCGGACAGTGGCGGCGGTGGCGGATAGTGGCGGCGGGCGGACAGTGGCGGCGGGCGGACAGTGGCGGCGGGCGGCAGTGGCGGCGGACAGGGCGGACAGTGGCGGCGGGAGGACGTGGCGGCGGTGGCGGATAGTGGCGGCGGGCGGACAGTGGCGGCTGTGGCGGATAGGCGGCGGGCGGACAGTGGTGGCGGCGGGCGGACAGTGGTGGCGGCGGGCGGATAGTGGTGGCGGCGGGCGGACAGTGGTGGCGGCGGCGGACAGTGGTGGCGGTGGCGGACAGTGGCGGCGGTGGCGGACAGTGACGGCGGTGGCGGACAGTGGCGGCGGTGGCGGACAGTGGCGGCGGTGGCGGACACTGGCGGCTGTGTCTGGCGGTGGTGGCGGGCGGTGGCGGGTGGCGTCTGTGATGAGTGGTGGCGGCTGGCGGTGGTGGGTGGTGGCGGCGGTGGTGGTGGGTGGTGGTGGCGGCGGTGGTGGTGGGTGGTGGTGGCGGCGGCGGCTGGTGGCGGTGGTGGTGGCGGTGGTGGTGGTGGGTGGTGGTGGCGGTGGCGGCTGGTGGTGGTGGGTGGTGGTGGCGGCGGCGGCTGGTGGTGGTGGGTGGTGGCGGCGGTGGTGGTGGGTGGTGGTGGTGGCGGCGGCGGCTGGTGGTGGTGGGTGGTGGCGGCGGGTGGTGGGTGGCGGTGGCGGGTGGTGGCGGTGGCGGCTGTGGCGGGCGGTGGCGGGCGGTGGCGGGCGGCGGCGGCTGTGGTGGGTGGTGACGATCGGCGGTGGGGGGGGCTGGTGGCGGCTGGCGGTGGCGGCTTGCGGTGGCGACTGTGGCAACGGGCGGTGACGGCTGATAGCGGGCGGTGGTGGCGGCTGGTGGCAGGTGGTGGTGGCGGTGGTGGCGGCTGGTGGTGGCGGCTGGTGGTGGTGGCTGCTGGTGGCGGTGATGGCGGCTGGTGGTGGTGGCAGCTGGTGGCGGTGATGGCGGCTGGTGGTGGTGGTGATGGCGGCTGGTGGTGGTGGCAGCTGGTGGCGGCTGGTGGCGGTGATGGTGGGTGGTGGTGGTGGTGGTGGTGGTGGCAGCTGGTGGCGGCTGGTGGCGGGCGCTGTGGCGGCTTGTGGCGGCTGGTGGTGGCGGCGGTGGTGGCTTGTGGTGGCTGGTGGTGGTGGCGGTGGTGGTGGCGTGGTGGTGGTGGGTGGTGGTGGCGGCTGTGGTGGGTGGTGGCGGTGGTGTCGGCGGCGGCTGTGGTGGGTGGTGGCGGCGGCGGCGGTGATGGGTGGTGGCGGCGGCGGTGGTGGTGGGTGGGTGGTGGTGGCGGCGGCGGTGATGGGTGGTGGTGGCGGTGGTGGGTGGTGGTGGCGGCGGCGGCTGGTGGTGGTGGGTGGTGGTGGTGGGTGGTGGCGGTGGTGTGGCGGTGGTGGGTGGCGGTGGCTGGTGGCGGGTGGCGGCTGGTGGTGGGTGGTGGCGGGTTGTGGCTGGTGGCGGTGGTGGGTGGCGGTGGCTGGTGGCGGGTGGCGGCTGGTGGTGGCGGGTGGCGGGTGGTGGTGGCGGTGGCGGGTGGCGGCTGGTGGTGGGTGGTGGCGGGTGGCGGTGGGGTGGTGGCGGGTGGCGGCTGGTGGTGGGTGGCGGCTGGTGGTGGGTGGCGGCTGGTGGTGGGTGGTGGCGGGTGGCGGTGGGTGGCGGCGGGTGGCGGGTGGCGGGTGGCGGCGGGTGGCGGGTGGTGGCGGGTGGTGGCGGGTGGCGGCTGGTGGGTGGTGGCGGGTGGCGGCTGGTGGCGGGTGGGTGGTGGCCGGTGGCGGCGGGTGGCGGTGGGTGGGCGGCGGGTGGCGGCTGGTGGTGGCAGTGGCGGCTGGTGGTGGGTGGTGGGTGGTGGCGGGTGGTGGCTGGTGGCTGGTGGGGGCG